GCCGGTAATTTGGTAGGAGTGATTAAAATTGAGAAAAATTAAATAGTTAAGGTACTAAATTCATAATTTTGAAACTCAATATTGCAATTAACCAGACTCCAATAGTCCTAGGACGACCAAAAGTGAAATTAACTCTTGAGGTAGCTCTTATTGTCGGTGCTTAGAGCAAATACCAATTTGAATGGAAGCAAATCGACAAAAATATATTAACGGTATTTTAGTTGTTAGGTAAGCCTAAATCGGTTTTATGCATGGTTAGGATTAAAGGAGGGTACGTATATGATATGTCGCATTCTCCGATCCATTGATGCTGCAGCTTTACCATGACAGCTTCTGGATGGAAGAGAATTTTGAGCCATAATTTCGTGAGGGAACATGTGCAGAAAGAGCATTTGAATTGTGATGATAACAACGTAACCTCACTTTGGATTGGAAGTTTGCAATCAGATAATTTGGTAGCTTAGCTAGCTTGTACATACAACAAAGTGCAGTGCTAACTGCTAAGCTGTGGTGCTCACCATTTGAGTTTCTTCTGCTTTTCCCACATGGGTGTAACATCCTCATACAACATAGCTGGCCCAAAATTCTATGCTCTGCTCGGGTTTATGATAGATTCAGCTCTCATACATCAATCAGATCTAGCTAAACACTTAGTAATGGTGTGATTATAATATTGAATCGTTTGAATCACACCAGGCCACTTTAATTTTATCATATTTTTAGGATATTAGTTTAAAAAATTGTATTTAAAGTGTTACAATTGCTATCACAAACGCTCTTTAAATGAAATGACTGGCATAATGGATATATCTATTACGACTCTGTATTCTAGAATTCATTTTTCCTTACCCTGCATTATTGAGAATATATTATTTATCATTTTTATTTTTTAATGAGACTTTTGTATTTTTATAAATACATATCTTCATGTATTTTAAATACAATGTATTTGATTAATAATAAGATATATAATTCCAAGAACTATTATTATCATCTGATAAACCAAACGATCCATGGCTACAAACCTTATCAAGAAAAAAAATCGCCAATGCCACCACCAAATCCTCGTCGTTGCACCGTTCCTGGCCGGTGACACCACCTTAGCTTCTCTTCTCGCACCATCTCTGATATTGCCTATCTAACCACAACCTTAATAAATACCCCACAAACAACCCATCAATTTATCTTCATTAAACTTACTTCCACAAACTATTTGTTTAAGAAGCTAGACTCAACTTGTTCTCTTTCTTCGTGGTCAAAATCCCAGTGGATACGTTTATGCATGTTTCCAACTTCATTTATTAAGGCACCGGATAAGTGTTCCGTTGTAGCCGATCCTGTAGCCAAAAATTTGGTCTGTCAGGATTTTTTTTTTTATTTTGTCCATGCTCATCTCGTTTCTGTCCGATGAAGTTTCGTATGTTGTAGTGGGGCATGCCATGTCTTGGGCCATATGGCAGATTATTGAAGTTGCCTTTAGGTCTTCAACTCAGACACGATATCTGAGTCTCGATCTATAGTCAGTTGCAATCTTTGCGCCAGGGGATTCCACTATGAGTGAGTATCTTGCCAAAGCCTAGATTTTAATGGGAATTCTTGCCGAAGCCAGCCGACCAATTAATTTGGATGAACAGAATAATCTATATCTATTCAAAGACCTCTGCCTTGAGTACCGTGCAATGATCTCCTCATTCACAAAGTAGCATCAAAGGTGCTACAAGTAAACTATATATCTACAAAAAGATCAATTAACAGACATCTCCACTAAACCACTAACCACAACAAGGTTAAATGATTTAGGGGACAAGCTTAATTAATGTTCTCTCCAAAGAACCAACTTAAAGGAGGCATATTAGGATTTTGTATTCTATACACACTAGAATTTCTTTTCCCTCTCACTCTATTTGTGAAAATAAATAATTTACCATTCACATCATAATTAGGTGACTCTTAGTATCTTTATAAATACATATCAAGATAATTTACAGAATTATTGTTCTCATCCTTTCAAGATACTTTTGAATGGAATAAAAAATGAGTTTAGTAATAAATTGATAAATTCATTTAATTTGTTACTGGCCAATTGCATAAAAAAAAAAAAATTTTAAATCAAAATTTTGGACTTTCTAACAATTGTATCCGAACCTTCTAAATATGAGCATTCCATACCAAGATTATATTTTACTTTTGTATAATTCTATATCCAAAATTACGATCAATAAAAAAAAAAAAATGGTTGTTCTTGTATGAGATTATCTCCCTTGGGAAGGATTTTAAATATTTAATACTTTTTTCAACAAAGATTATATTTTCAATGAAAATATTACATTTTCATTAATACTTCTCAAGGAACAAGTAATACCAATAATTTTTAATAAAAATAAATACTTGCTAACTCATAAAACATATATACATTTTTGCTAAAACTTATTATATATTTGAGATTCGTCTCACATGAGACTGTCTCATACAATTTTTTTGTGAAAAAAGTAAGATCTAATATATATGACCCAATATTTCATAGATCAATCATTATACTACAGAGTCCACCTGACATAAGGTACATTTTTATTATATTAAAAGTACATTTTTTAATGTCTTTAAAAAAAGTACATTTTTAATACACTTAAAATTTCATTTTGAATGTATATTATTTGAGTATTGAAGATATATTATTTGGTATACTACCAAATAATGAACCTTTAGTACACAAATAATGTGCATTCAGTATATTAAAAATGTACATTTATAGTTTAAAAAAAAAATGTACACTTATTCAGGATCTGTATTACAATATGGACCATGGTCCACAATATAATTTATCTTCATAGTGAGTGAGGTATTAAACTTCTACAATCGTTATGCTATGGACCCGTGTCCAGCATGCAATGTGGACACGGTAACGGTGCCGTTAGTGGCACCGTTATCTTCCACTTAAAAAAAAAAAAAAAAAAAAAAAAAAAAAAAAAAAAAAAAAAACTCAGATCGCTTCGTTATAGGAGTATATGTTCATAATTTTATCGAGTTAATGCCACATGAAATCCTCAGAGTATAGTGGTCTTGCCTCGTTTAGTCCTAAACTTTCAAATTGACCATCTGTGTTCATTCGACTTTCAAATTTAGCCATTCGTGGTCCGAGTTAACCACCCATGGTCCTTCAACTTTCGAAATTTAACCAGCCGTGGTCCTCTTGAAAGGACCATGGTTGGTTAAAATTTAATAGTTGAAGGACCATGGGTGGTTAACTTGGAGCACGAATGGTTAAATTTGAAAGTTGAATGACCACGGATGGTTAATTTGAAAGTTTAGGACTAAACGTGGCAAAACCACTATACTCGGAGGACCTTAGATGGTATTAACTCTAATTTTATCACTATATGTTCATAATGTCAGAGCTCTGTGTTCATAATTCCATAACTGTACATTCATATTTCCATAACTGTACATTCATAATTCCGTAACTGTATATTCATAATTCAATAACTGTACATTCATAATTTTTGAAGCTCTATGTTCACAATTTTAGAGCTCTATGTTCATAATTTTATCACTGTATTTTCATATCGTAAGTTCATATTGTAAGTTCATAATGTCAGAGCTCTGTGTTCATAATTCCATAACTGTACATTCATAATTCCCTAACTGTACATTCATAATTCTATAACTGTACATTCATAATTCCCTAACTGTACATTCATAATTCCATAACTGTACATTCATAATTTTCGAAGCTCTATGTTCACAATTTTAGAACTCTATGTTCATAATTTTATCACTATATATTCATAATTGTAAGTTCATAATGTCAGAGCTCTGTGTTCATAATTTCATAACTTACATTCATAATTCCATAATTGTACATTCATAACTCCATAACTGTACATTCATAATTCCATAACTGTACATTCATAATGCCACAAACGAATAACGCCGTTAATGATGAAAAAAAAAAAAAACCTGGAATGCCGCGTTTTTTTCCTGAAAACGACGTCGTTTTGGACTCGTGTCCTATGCATAATTTGCGAAACTTCTATGAGTAATTAAGATTTAAGGATCAAAATTAAAACTCATGAAGCCATGATAATTAGAAATTCAACTTACACTTAATCTATAATTTAATGATGAAAAGTGCAATTATCGTATGTAATATAAAAATACTAAATAGAAGAGAGAACCACCACTTCAAATTCATGCAATAAGATAGTTGAAAGGGTGGATCTAAACTAATTATTAACTTTTGGGTTTGGATTGGGGATTGTGAGTTTGGATTGAAAATCATTAACTAAAACAGTACTTGGGATATGTATATATGTTATGTGATTGGACAAAACATGTCTGCCTATATAGCCTATAATGCTTCATCAAATACATACATTATCATAGGAGGGACAATAATAATCAGACATGAAATTAAAAGATCCGTCCTCAGATGTGTACATCACACATGTTGCTATGACTCCTATGAGCCATGGTTTATAACATGGAGTACTCCATAATTAATTACCACCTCAGATTTATTTAGGAAAATCTCAATTGATGTCCTATATTTGTATCATATTAGATAAAGGAACTAACATCATTATTGTAATATTAGACCGTTTTGATTTTATATGATATTGCAAATTGTATCTATAGAGGTATTAGGTATACATCTAGCATTAAGTATACCAGTTTTTATAGTAAATTAGCTCATGATACCCGTAGTTAAAATTAAAGTCGCAATGTAACTAAGGCCGCCAAATCTTGAACTTGGACCCCGAGCCTCTAGCTGGGAGGACCAAGACCAACCAACCCTCTACAAGGTAGTACTAGTCCGGGCTTGGACCGAGCCTAAGATTTACCACACCAACCCTCTACAAGGCAGTACTAGTCCAGGCTTGGACCGAGCCTGAGATTTACCACTCAAGCGTAACCCCTAGTTGGTTCAGGATCGGATTGGTCAGTAGTACTAAAAAAAAAAGGTATAAACATGAAGCTCTCCATATTCTGTTCCAAACTGATTCATAAACTGATGCTCATTCATTGCGTACGAAGAAAATCCAGATATGAACCTAAAAGGTGGCATCTTCAAAAGCCAAACCTCCTGGGAACAGAAAATGAAGCTTTTCTCCAACATGAATATAACAAAGACTTCCATACAAATTTATTTCCTGCATGCCCACGAGATGTTTCCCTTTGTCGCGGGCTGCATTCATTTTGAATTGCCTTGCAAAGTGCTCCATTTCGAAAGACTGATTTGCATGGTTTCTTGATCAATGGAGAAAAGTCTCGAGGGGCTTAACGAATCAGTATTATTCATTGTGCAGACATTTCCATCTCGAGTAAAGCCAGTACTGCATAAATTTCTGGAGTTTGCGAATGTGATCGGTCTCCAGCAACAAAAGCATGAAGCTCGTTCCCGTTTTGGATCCAACTGCAGCCAGGGCTCTTCCTAAGCCCCTTTCTCTTCATCAAGTCCCTCAGCTCTGAAACCCCGTCCCACCTTCCAGACGTTGCGTATGCATTAGAAAGCGCCACATAATTTCCCGAGTTATCAGGGAACATTTTAATCAAAGATTTAGCTATATGTTCCTCGAGCTCAGACTCCCCGAGCTCTCTACAAGCTGCAAGTAACGATCCCAAAGCATGGCCGTCAGGGTCAAAAGGCATTTTCTGAACAACGTGGAGAGCTTCATACACATTACCACACCGAGAAAGAAGTGTAGCTAGACAACCATAATGCTGCATTCCGGGCTCCACGTTATATACAGAAACCATTTCATGGAAAACATTTAAACCCTCGTTCACCAATCCGATGTGACAGCAGGACGCTAAGACAGTAGTAAAGGTTATGTTGTCTGGCTCGACGCCTTCCTTCTTTAGATGCTCGAATAACCCGAGGGCTTGCACTGCACGTCCATGCAATGCATAACCCGATATCATCGCATTATACAAGGCTATCTCTTTTATCGCAATTGCATCGAAGATTTGTCTAGCCATGTTCAGATTTCCACATTTCGAATACATATCCACTAACGAGGTTGCCATTGGAAGAGATAACGGAATTCCTCGCCTCACATTATACCCATGAATGGCCTTTCCACAAAGCAATGATGCCATATTCGTACAGGCCGAGAGAACACCAACAATGCTTGCAGAGGTTGGTTCTAGCCCCGCTTCCAGCATTTGCTGAAAAAACATAATCGCCTCATTGCCAAACCCGATTTGAGAAAGGCCCGTAATAAGGGTAGTGTAAGTAATATGGTTAGGATGTACGCCAGACGCTTTCATCTGTGAAAACATATCAGTGGCCTCGTTTATCTGGCCATTTCTTAAGAATCCAAGAATAACTAAATTCCAAGATATAATATTTTGTTGTACACCGTCTAACTGCATCTGGTAAAACAGTTTCAACGTCTCACCGCTAAATCCCATTTCCGCATAAGCAGCTAGCAATGTATTCCAGGAGACGATATCCTTATCAGCTGTAGAGTCAAAAACTTGCCTTGCATCGGTAATTCTCTTGCATTTGGCATACATATCGACTATACTATTTGCAACAACCGCATCACTTTCAAAATGATTCCTAAGACAAAAGCAGTGTGCGGCTTTACCAAGATTTAAATCGCTTAAATTTGTTGAAGCAGATAATAACGACGATAGAGTCACACAATCATACAAAAAGCCAGCCGATCTCATTTCACGACACAAGGAGAGTGCTTTCTCAACCTCACCCGATTGCACATAACAAAATATTAACAAATTCCATGCTACCACATCTTTCTCGATCATTCTACTAAATACCAGTTCAGCATCACTAGCCAAACCAACCTTGGAATAAAAATTTATGAGAGAAGTTCCCAATATATTATCCAAATCTAATCCGTTCTGAATTGCAATAGCATGAACTTGCTTTCCAAATTTGAATGCACGCAAATTAGCTGAAGTTGTGAGAATGCTTGACAGAGTTACCCGAGACGCTTCAAAACCTTCAATTCTCATCTCACTGAAGACTTGAATTGCTTCCTCATTAAACCCATTTTGCATATAACTCCCAATTATTGAGTTCCAAGCAACTACATTTCTCTTAGACATATTATCAAACACCTTTCTTGCATCACCTAAAGCCCCGCATTTTCCATACATATCAATAAGACTGCTGGCCACAAATACACACCCATCAAAATTCAATTTCCAGACTTGCCCATGAACACATTTTCCAAAATCAGCATTGTTCAAAGCACCACAAGCTTTCAAAACATTTGGGAGCACAAAATTATCTGCAGAAATCCCATTTTCTTGCATTTCAATGAACCCCAACAAAGCCTCTTCAAACAAGCCTACTCTACTATACAGCCCAATCATAGCAGCCCAAGAAAACTCATTCTTTAATCTGAGTCTTGAAAATAAATTGCTCGAGACATCAAAAAGATCGCATTTCGCATAGAAAATCACAAGCTTTGTTTCTATGAACTCATTCCTAGCAAAAAATTTACCATTTTTTATAATTTTGGCATGGACTTGCTGGCCCAAGAGAAGCTCTCGCTGATAAACACAGCCCTGAAGGAGTTCACCGTAGAATTCTGGACCAATACGAAGCTCTTGGGCTTCCATTCGATTGAGGAGATCCACAGCTTCTTGAAGTTGACCATCTTTGCACAGAGAGGAGATGTGGGTGAAGTAGGATTTGGTGAGAATTTCCGGATTTTTGCCATTACCATATAATTGTTTGCAATGGGTTTGTATTAATTGAGGTGATTTTTCAGGTTTGATCTGAGGTGGAAAAGGGCTTAAAGAGGTGTTATGGTGCAGCGAAGCCATGCATGCTTAGAAGGTTTTGAGAGGAGATGGATATGGTTACCATTCTGGATTTCTGGCCATCCAAAACACAACAGGATTTTTTTTCTTTTGTCCGATCATAGCCCAAATCATTGGCAAATTATGCCCTGGACACGGCCCAAAACGAGTCGTTTTTTAAAAAAAAAACGCGTCATTTAATTAAAAAAAATAAATAAAAAAAAAAAAATAATTGCGCGCATTTTGCCGTTAATGACGTTATTTTTTTTTGGATTATGAATGTACAGTTATGCCGTTATGAATGTACAGTTATGCAATTATGAAATTATGAACACAGAGCTCTAACATTATGGACTTACAATTATGAACATATAGTGATAAAATTATGACCATGGAGCTTTAAAATTGTGAATATAGAGGTTCGAAGATTATGAATGTACAGTTATGGAGTTATGAATGTACAGTTATAGAGTTATGAATCTACAGTTATGGAGTTATAAATGTACAGTTATGAGATTATGAATCTACAGTTATGGAATTATGAATGTACAGTTATTGATCGAATTATGAACAAAGAGCTCTGACATTATGAACTTACAATTATGAACATATAGTGATAAAATTATGAACATAGAGCTCTAAAATTGTGAACATAGAGCTTCGAAAATTATGAATGTACAATTATGGAGTTATGAATGTACAGTTATGGAGTTATGAATGTACAGTTATAGAGTTATGAACGTACAGTTATTAACATATAGTAATAAAATTATGAACATATACTCCTATAACGAAGCGGTCTGAAATTTTAAAAAAAAAAAAAAAAAAAAAAAAAAAAAAAAGATAACAGTGCCAAACGGCACTGTTACCCGTCCAACGCATAACAATTGCAAATCATTGACTTGGGCAAATTATATCATGTAAGGCTATCTTCAGTCATGGGGCAAATTATATCGTGCACCAAGGCGCACAATGCTTATGCGTCCTGACAAAAACGATGTCGTTTTGTATTTATATTTTTTTTAGAAATTTTATTTTTCGTTTTTATCGTTAATTTTTGAAAATAAAATTCTCTGTTTTGAATGTACATAATTGTATAGTAAAATACACATAAACTCATAATATAATACACATAATTTAACATGATACATAATACACATAAATTCTTAACAAAATACACATAAACTCTTAACATAATACACATAAAATCTTAATATAAAAACAACGTTGTTTTGGGTAAGGGCACAATGCATTGTGTGTCCTGGTGCACGATATAACGATTGGAGTCATGGAACATGTTACCACAAATAAAAAATATATATTATTTGAGTATTGAAAATACATTATTTTGTATACTATCAAATAATGTATATTTAATACACAAATAATATACTTTTAGTATATAAAAAATTATCTTGTATTCAGGGGAGTACATTATTTGAGTATTGAAAAATACATTATTTTGTATAATGTAATTTTAGTATATTAAAATGTACGTTTTTATTGTCCGCATAATATTATGTGGACCATGGTCCACATAAAAATTTATTGATTATGCCTGCAATTTTCTCTCACTTCAAAATGCTATATCATTAAATTTACAATTATTAATTATTCCCTCTATATCTATACAATTATCTCTTCTCTTTCAATAGTGGTCTCATCTTCACATCATTTTAATAAAAAATATATTTTTAGCAATAAAATATTAATAATAATAATAATAATAATAATAATAATAATAATTGAAATAATAACAAAAATCCAAAAGTTGTCCTTGAATGGTGTGACACCAGAATTAGCAATTCTGTAATGTCAAAATTGTAACACATGAGTAAAAAAGAAAATGTCAAAATAATTGCCAAAATCCCATAGGTACGGATGACCTAATAGGATCCATTGTCTTCTTATTTCCATAGGCTTCATCAGTGTCCAATATCCAGAAAGGCAGAAAGCTAAAGATTCAAGACAAGGTTGACTTCTTCAGATCGGTCTGCCTCGTCCATGGATTTCCCCCTTTATCGTCCATTCTCTCAAGCTGAAAAACCAATAGAGAGAAGATAGCGGCGGTGGCAGAAGCAGAGCAGCACAGTGACGGTGGCAGCCATCGGTAGTAGCGGAGGAGGTGTCGTTGGTGGCTGCGTTTAATGTGATCACAACCATGATATGGGGTGGCAATGTGAAGGGGAAAGAAATTAAAGGGAAAGGATGTTTTGTGGACGCCATGACCGCCGGCTTCTCCATACTGGGCGTCATGGGCGAAGATAATTTTGTTTTTCTTTTTACATTTAATTAATTTATTTGAATAAAAAATATTTTTTGTTTTAATTAATTTATTTGAATTTAAGAAATATGTCTTTTTATTTTTTAATTAAAAAAAAAACGTTTTTACTAGTTACTTAAAGGTAACCTGTTAATTAATCTAATTGCATCAAAATAAAAAATTAAGAGGTCTAACTAGAATTTTTTTAGTTTAAGCATTTAATTGCACTTTGACTTATAGTTAAAGAGCCTATTTGAACCTTATCCTTTTTTTTAATTGCACGCATAAATTTTCTTTTTTTCTTTTTAAATTTCACACATAAATTTAGGATAGTATATTTGTTGGAGAAAATTTCAATTTTGGTCACATGACTATAGGAGCATTGTTAATTTTAGCACCTGACTTTTAAAAGTGTCAATTTAGTACCTTGACTATGTAATTTTTGTCAATTTTGGTCACTCCGGCCAAATTAACGGTCAAATTTGGCCGGAAAAATTTAATCCAACATTTAATTTATAATCTAAGGGGCAAAATTGTCTTTTAAGCATTTCTCCTAATTTTGAAAATATGGTCCGAATTAAGCCCAAGTGTTGTTGACTCGGTTCGTATGTTTATGTGTGGTCAAAGCACCGTTCCCTTGCCAGAGAAGACGATAGAGAGACGTCGACGGGGTCACTCGTGGCGCCGTAGGCAAAGACTTCAAAAAGGAACGAAGCAGCCGGAATAGCAGAAAACGAAAAAGATGGGAACGAAGCAGCGGAAATAGAGAATCCAACGCCGCAGGCTCCGATTCCGTCGACGTCATTCGTGGTGCCGGCTACCGCTTCCCTGCCAAGCAAGCTATCACTGTTTCTTTATTCGACGGGCCGCAAGAAGACGATGGGAACGAAGCAGTGGAAATGGAGAACCAACGCCGCAGGAATTTGGCAACGGATGAAGTGTTTTCTGGGTTATTCCCTTAAGCTTGACATTGAATTTGGCAATGGAATTTTTTAAATTTTGAACATTGAAATTTGAAATTAATTCCGGTGCTTGACATGATTAAGCATCGGAAACTGAAAAGAATTTCCATATATTACTATCAATGATTACCATTGTGTTTGTTGTTTCTTCGTCAATCGTCATCTTCCATGGCTTCCGGCATAGTCAATCGTCATCTTCCATGTAGCTTCCGACGACCATGAAGGATTGAAAATCGTCAGATTGCCGGCCAAATGAAGGATTTTCATGGCTTCCGACAATTTTCAATTCTTTCGCCAAATTGCCGACCATGAAGGATTGAAAATGGGCAATTTGACGATTGACTATTTCGCCGGAAAAATTTGTGCTTATTCGGACCACATTTTCGCAATTAGGAGAAAGGATCAAAAGACCATTTTACCCCTCAGATTATAGATTAAATGTTGGATTAAATTTTTCCGGTCAAATTTGACCGTCAATTTGGCCGGAGTGACCAAAATTGACAAAGATTAGATAGTCAAGGTACTAAATTGACACTTTTGAAAGTTAGATGCTGAAATTAACAATGCCCCTATAGTCATGTGACCAAAATTGAAATTTTCTCTATTTGTTGTATTGATTAAGGGATAAATTTTCATTTTTGTACAAAATAAATGCGCAGTAATTTTTATTTTCTTTTTATGCTCATGATAAATGTAATATATTGGGAAAATAGCAATTTTTCTTCATGTGTTATATACTTATAGCACTTTTTTCCCCTGAATTATTTAAGTGTAGTTTTTTCCCTGAAATGTTAAATGAACATATTTACCCTTTATTTTTCTTCTTCAACAATTAATGACCACAATTTGGTCCAAATCGAACAGACACTATAGAAATCAAACCGAAATATTCCGATTACAATTAAGAATCAAAACCAGATATTAAGAGTTTATTAAAATCCCGAACTGGAACGGTCGGTTCATGTTCCAAACTGAAAAAATAAAATAAAATACATTTATTGTTGAATTTAGACTATATTAAAAATTTAAAAAAATTAAAATAAACTTTGAACCAGAGGTTCACACTGGATCCTGAACCGTGAACTGGTGGTTAAAAATCAAAACCAAATCGTGATCATATATACTTATATGTGAGAATTAGAATAAATATAAAAAAGAACATACACTATTTATAAATATTATAATTCTAATTTTAAACTAATGCTAGTAGTTGTTCCAATTCGAACGCCGGTTCACGGTTCAGGATCTAGTTTTTTTTATTCATGATTTTAATAAACTAAAATCTAAATATTGGGTTTTGGATCTGAATCATAGCCGTAAACTTTCAATTTGATTACTATAGTATCCGGTTCAATTCGAACTGAATCATGGTCATCCCTACGTATAACAATAATTTGTTTGAGAAGAAAAATAAATAAAATGTTTATTTTAAGGGTAGAGATGTCAATTTAATATATCAGGGGAAAATCTCTACTTTTAGAATAATTGAGAGGGCTAATATGCTTACATGAATAATTCAGAGAGAAAATGTGCTATAAGCATATAATTCAGGAGAAAAAGGTGTAATTTTCCCATATATTTTCTTTTGTAGTGAAATTATAAATATTATTGTATTTTTATGAAACGACACAAAGTTTTGGGATATATTAAGGAGAATAAATTTGTAGATATATGATAATTAAGTAATAAATATGTTAACCAGGACTATGTGGTCCAATGGTATCCGGGTTGGACTTCCATTTGGAAGATTATAAGTTCAAGCCTTAGTGGAGGCGTTATTGGTTCTTTGTGTTTCAGTAGGTTGAGAAAGTATATGAATAGATACTACAATGTAATAGAGCCAGTAACTTTCAAAAAAAAAAGTAATAAATATGTTAAGGAAAGTAGAAA